GGTTTACTGCTTGGGACCATTAAATTACAAGTTACTGCAAGGCAACAACCGGCGAAGGAACATTTTGATAGTTGCAGAAGGGACAGAATTGTGAGTCAGACCCAATTTCTGTCCATTTACCTACAGACTCTAGGTGGGAGCCGACCTTTATAAAAACAACCAACGGACAGATCGTAGAATCAAAAACTAAGGATGGCCGGGTCGTGCGGCGCCATTTGGACTATGTGCGACCACAACTGTCAAACCGAGAAACTTGTGCTGAACCAGATCTGTCGTTCCAATCACCGACCGATATGCAGATGACTGACGCACAATCAGTAACTGAACCTTTGTTGTCTCGTTCTACTTGTCACCGCCGACCAGTCGAGCGCTTTCAGGCCGGTTAGCCCGAACCAAATTGGGGAGGGATGGTACGGTCATTGGTCGTGCCAAATCCATCCACTGCTATTCGGCCGGAAAGGCTGCTGTGTAGGAGCGCGTATACTTGTGTGCGTGCGTGTTTGTTAACCAATCAGTATCCGTCATTGATTCGTTTCGAACTGGAGCCCGTTCTCGCTTTCATGTGACTCTCGTGGCAGCTTTTAGGTGCTCGCATGTGCTGTGTTCCTCTTTACGCTTGCTACTAAAGTTTTCCTACTACCACACCGCTGTTTTGATTCCGCTTGGGTGTAACCATAATGACATTGTCCAAGTATGCAGCGGCATATGGTACTCCTTGAGCGTCGTATCCACGATCTGCTGAAATATGGCCTGGGTTGACATGATTCCAAATGGTATACGTGTACACTGGAATAGTCCTCTGTGAGGGTTAATTGTTACTAACTCACGCGATTCCTCTGACATTTCAGTCTGGTGATATGCGTCAGACAAGTCCAGTTTGGTAAAGCACTTGCCACCGTTCAGACGTACAAAAAGGTCTTCAAGTGCTGATAGTGGGTACTAAAGCAGCATTCAAGCCTTTAGAGTAATCTGCACATAAGCGGATCTTTGGTTTCTTGGAAATCACAATGGGACTTCCCGTGAAGAGTAATTGGTCGGTTTGTTAACTCCGACTATAGTGTGTCAGTTCTTTGTCGACGATTGAAACCACACTATATGGAACCGGTCGCTTCGGTCGGAAGACTGGCTTTGCGCCTGACCGTAGGGATAAACTGGCTTTGGTTTTCCTGCATAGTTCCAGACCATCCTGGAGCATCTGTGGATGTTTTCTCTGTAGAGTCTTCGTCCGATTCACAGCTGCGTCACTTAATTTGTTACACACGGGATTCAGGTGAACATCCATCCGGTTTATATTGTGAATCCGGTCGAGACCGAGTAGATTCAGATCTGGGTGTCTTGTTACGTGGCAAACCCCTACGAACTGGCAGTCTTTGAACATTACAGAGCAATAAATCGCATCGGCCAAGTTCATTGGTCCTCCTGAAGCATTGGTTGCAATCTGAGTTGTTCTTTGAACAGCGCGCTCACCGATTTCCTTCCAAGTTTTCTTGGATGTGATCGTGATATCTGAAGCAGTCTACTTGAAGGCGTACGGGCACTTTGTTCACAACCACCGTCACGAACTTTCTGCGCTTCCTGCTCCTGCATTGAAGGTAGCAAAAACAGGATAAAGCTGGGATCATTGTTTTGTTAGCGATGTGAGTGCAGGTCCTTTGGGTTGTTGTTGTTGTTGTTGTTGTTGTTGTTGTTGTTGTTGTTGTTGTTGTTGTTGTTGTTGTTGAAAGCAGCTGCACGGAATTGATCCTCCTCATGACCCCTTTTGTTGCATTTCTGACAGATGCTTATTGAACGGGCAGAATTTAACGAAGTCTCATTCCCCACATTGTCCGCATGCGGACGGTGGTCTGTTTGACTTCAATAAGTTTTGGAGCATCGCTATGTTTATTCTCGACCCACCGTGGTCCGCTGATCGATATGCTCTTTTGGACCGTCTAGTGAGGAAGGGTGTGCCCGAGATATATGTAAATGTCATAAGGGCGCTGTACGCGTGTAGTTCGGGCAGAGTGAGGGTTTACAGCAAAATTTCGCCGCCCTTCGATATCTCCAGCGTTGTAAAACAAGCTTGCCCGCTGTCACTCTTCCTCTTTAACTTCGCCATTGACGAAGTCATGGATACGGCGTTCGTCGGGCACGACTTAGGAGGTGTGGAACTGCTCCCAGATGACCGACTTCTTGACATGGAGTATGCTAACGACATTACGCTCATCTGTGACAGCTCACAAACGTATCAAGGAGCACTGGGCAGATTAACATTGACTGTCAGTCTTTTCGGACTATGCTTTGCACCGTCGAAATGCTAAGTCATTCTTCAAGATTGGCAGAGGCCCACTCTTGCGCTGACCCTTGGTGGTGACCAGCTAGAAGTCGTCAAGAAATTTTAGTATTCATACAGCTACATTAGAGCCCGTGGGATTGAGCATGAGATCACAAACCATATAGCGAAAGCTCGGGGGGCTTTTGCCAATCTCCGCTACCTATGGCACCGGCGTGACATCACTCTCGCTCTGAGGTGCAGATTTTACATTGCAACAGTCCGTTCAACCTTCTTATACGATTGCGAAATCTGGCCCATTAGTTCAGCAGGCTTAAAGAAGCTGGTTGCGTCTGACTATCCCTGCCTTCCCAGCTTAGCTCATGTCTGGTGGGAACACCGCGTGACCAATGAGCGTATTTGATGCATGGCGTGCGAAAGAACCCCTGAGTACCTTTATTCCATGCATAAGGCTCCGATGGCTGAACCACATGTTGCGCATGCCAGGACACTAACTCCCGCGATGTACGCCGTTTGCGCGCCGGGGGTGTGAATAGAAGAAGAGGGGAGGCCACGCGATGACTTGGTCTGGAGGAATGAAGCCCCTCACTTCGAAGTTTGCCTTTGTTGGTGTTTCCCGACTGCCGGCCTGGGGTCCCAAGGACGATGAACACGTTTGGTTGAATGCATTAGCTGACATGGCAAGGAGCCGACCTCAGTGGCATTTGTGTTGTGTCTTTTTGTCCCTCCTCTCCCGTTTAGCTTCCTTCCCACAACGATTTCAATTCCATGCATAATGTGCTTTTAGCATTATGTTACTTTTTTTTAGTTTTTTTTGTTCTGTAATGTTTAATCGCTTATCCTTTTTGTATTGCGGCACATTAACTGTGGTGTGTTTCTCACGTTCGGCTAGCGTGTATTGATGGTGATGATAACTAAGTTTTGTACCGGTGCTGGACTTGTTTTGACCGCCAATACATCTACGAGTCATGGACTGCGGCCTTGGACAATCAGGCTTGTGTCATGTTTCAAGTTGTCTGACCTCTGGCATTTGTTTACGATGGACATAAGATTGATGAACGGGTTCTGTCCAATTTGCTTGGCAGCGTCATGTGTATTTCGGCATCCCCGGGCGTTTGGAAACCACAAACGAGAATAACAGCCTTGAACCGATCGTCATTTCTTTTAGCTTGAAACGCCCGCAATGACGGCAGACGGTACTCGCGTAAGTTACGGAATCGTCTAATACGCACTTAACGAGCTGAGTAAGGAAACTGCTCATTAAAAGTGTCTTTTAGCAGAGATATAAGTTGGTCGAAGGTAAAATCTTTGTGACATTTTGACAAAACAAACTTGCGAAACACGTCGTGCACCTTGATTCCCAGCTTCCGTAGAAGCAGTCTACACTTCCATCCGTCGTCAGCATCGGTAAATTCGGACCGGAAAACGTCTTCCTATCTTCTGAACCAAGATTCGATGGTTACGCCGGCATCCGGGTCATAATGAAATTCACGATTGCCGTTAGCGACTGCATCCTGGATGACTGCTGCTTTTCATTGTTTGGTCTTGCTTTAACCGAGAATCACTGAAAGAAATTCTCGAGGCAGTCGTGTCTGGCTTTCTGCAAATTGCTTTTGATGATGTTGAAGCATTACTATAAACATAAGAATCCTCCTAGGTCTCTTTGATTTCAATACATCGATTCCTTGCTTTCTTGAGAGCCTGCACAGCAGCCTTACTTTCGGGTGTACCATAAAGTTGTTCGTCCTCTTGTGACAATATGTGTCACACTGTACTCCACTCCGATGCATTGCTTCTCGGATAATGTACTCACAGTGGCTCTTAAATCAAGTTTTGACGGTACGGATGGTCCTTGAACAGGGGATATTGCATAAAAACTGCGCAGATTTTCCTGCTTTTCTAAGTTATTTGGTAATAGCTCTTGCGGCTCTTGATGGCCTTCATTTTCGACTGAACACATCTCGGCTGCAATGACTAACAGAATACGATTGACCGCGGTATTTTCAAGTCGCTCGATTATTTTTGAAAGATTCGGTTCATGGTCATAAGGATTCCAGGCCTCCATTATCCGCCTTGCTACACATCCGATGGAGTATTTGAACCTTGCCAACTGGTATGGCCTTGGATATTCGTCCAACTGGATCGGTGCCGCGAATTTCATTGAATTTGCTTTTCACGCTCTCTAGTTGTCTGGCAATGTGCTTTCTCTCATTAGTGAGGTTAACCATGAGATCGGCGCTTGCTTCTTAATGGCGAGCGGGCTTGGGCTTGGCTGTACCTATATCACTATGTCATAATGTCCCTCATGGAGCAAAATCTATGTCTGGGCCTTGGTAAGCATTACTTGTTTTAGAAAAATGAGCTGATTTCATAACTCGATCAATTAGAACCACTCACAAATTGGCTCATTTCATCCCGTCGATCATCTATCAGTAATTGCTTGAGTTCTGTTCTCGCCATTTCTGACCAATTGCCAACTTGCTGTCATTGATTTGGAGCTATCAACGCGAGGAAGCATAAGGTTGCCCCAGGATCATCGCTGCACATAATGATTTTGCATTTCACAAAATGTTATTGTGATGTCTTCTGCCTTCTCCATATTCGGAAACGCAAGACTGTCACTTTTCATCTCTTAAGGGTTCACAATCGTGCCGCTCAGCTGTCTGTCCTTATAGCTCATCCGTCTGGCTTAAAATAATGTCCGGCTACACTCTTCCATCACTTTTAGGTCAAGAACGATATCACAGCTTGGCTCCTATGTATTATCGGGGCGCGCAGGCAGCCATAATTGTGTACGATATTACCAATCACAGTTCCTTCCAGCGCGCTAAATCCTGGGTAGACGAACTGAACGAACGAGCCAACTCTGTTAAAGTACTGGCGCTTGCGGGGAACAAATTGGATTTGGAAGCGCAAAGAGCAGTACCTACTGAAGTGAGTTTTGCATGCGACATATTCCCCCATTCATTCTGTTGCTGTTTTTCCTTTATATTCCGCGTTTATTCTGGGACCCACCGTTGTGTTGCGAGTTCATTATCACTCCATCCGAAAAACCTGAGCACTATCTTCGCCCCTGGGCTATTTAAACGAGGCAGCATCCACCTGCGTTTCAGTTCGGTTTTCACTTGATCAGCTATGAACCACACACGGAATGGTATTGACTCCTGTTTGGAACACCTGCTGCATCATGGGAAACGGATAAAGAATTAAGCTAGTCATATAACGCTACCAAGTACGAACATTGGGAAACACTTCGTTTGTTTTTACTCATTCTTGTCTATCATTAGTTGCTACCTGCATTACAATTGATGCTGGTGTACCCTCCTCATGTTCCCGAAGCAACTATGCGACGACATTTTAACATTCATCCAATTATCTCGACACGTGTGCTGAGATAGGCGGGTACCTGTGTTTCTTATCGGAGAACGTTTGTCGAACACGCATGCCAATTCAGAAAAGCTTTGGCCTTCAGACATACTGACCACGAGTACTTCATACATCCACTCCTTTAGTCCCCCATTCATCAACTGTCTATGCCTTTCCAGGTACTCTGAGATCATCGTGGCAATCAGGAAGATGGGCTTTTATTACTCTTCTGTTAAACTCTTGTAGACTACTATAATTCACTTTTCACGGTGTAACTACCATCTTGCTGCCATGAACAGTTCGTTGACCATAGACAATTATGTAGCACCCTTTTTGCGACACATCAAAACTTTCTTTCTGCTTGCAACTTATAGACTCACTTATTAATAGTCTCTCATGTCCATGTTAATGCGCGGGGCACGTGCCTTCCACTGACATTTGTCTGGGTTTTGATCGCACTACCATCCGCGTTGTGCAACCCTCAGCGTAGTACTGGATTCGCTTGCTCACCAGACTCCATCATCTAGGCTAGTAAACTATGTTGTGCCGCATAACTGCGCATTGTCCGCTGCACGTCACCGCCGGCGTGGACATAGTGGAAAATGGAAATGCTGATCCCTACATCACTTTGTTCGTCTCTCTTGCAGTGGATCGCAATCATCTCCCGTCTCAAATGATCCGGTGTTTTGAACTCCTCTTCTTGGTACAAGTTATAGTGAAAGCGCAAAATTCGCATCAAGATTTTCTGACTGATGCTATCACGACAGCGTTCTTTTGTCTCCAAGCTGGTCGATAGTACTGGCGTTTCGATTTGCTCCGTCTCTGTTCACTTTTTCCATACTAGTCCATTTATCCCTAAGAAGTGGTTCAGTCACGTGTACAGTTCCAAACCAATCGGTCGACCTTTTTGGGACCGAGAGTTGCATTGACCTACTGTGAAATTGAATGTTTGTGAATAGTTTTGCTGTATGGACCACCAGTGTTTTCTATTATACCACTCGTCCCACTTGGTGGGTCGGCGAAATCGCACTGTCTGAACACACCCACCATCCTGGATCCTTTTCTCAACCAGTTCGTTTCTTCTGAGGCCCGTATTCATCAATCCATGAGCACCGCCTTTACTTCTCACATGAGTGTTTTCCTCATCTAGCCCAATCTGTTCCCAAGCAAGCAAGTGATTCTCCAGAGCCGTTTCGCGAGACCCACCAAATAATGCAGTGTACTGACTTTTTCACCTTATGTAATGTCTGTAGTCAGTACCATCCCTTACTAGACTCGTACTTCAAGTTCTAAATCGTGATCTTTCAAGTTCGCGTCATCAGTGACCTGTACTTGCGAACTACTGTTTGTTTTTGGCACGCAGTATGCATAACGCTGATATACAACAATTGAGATTTGGTGGCATGTTTTCGACACCGCATCGGCTCGTCTGTTACACTCGAACTGCTTACATTAGCTTGGTTACATTCTTTGCACAAATACCTCATGCCTTGATGTGCGCTGTTCACCAACTGTGTGTTCTTTTGCATGAAATCCCAACATCCACCTCCGATGGCATGTCGTGGCTGATGTTGCATTCATAATGCTTCTACACTGCAGTTGGACTAAACCGATTTACACTTAAACTAGGTCTTTTTAAGATAGCTAAATTTTATTCCACTTTATTTGGTTTGTTCTGTCTACCTGAATAATCTTCTATTAACTTGCACACGTTCCTTACGCTAATTGCGCTTGCGTTTGTAGCATCTTTTGATTAACTTCTGGACATTTTGTACTTATCGCGGATTCGTTGCTAACCAACTAACTTCATATGCCAATTTAGCGAAGAGTTATGTCGGCATAGCCGTATGCTTTAACAGATATGTTTTATTTGATAATGTTATTTCAAGTGATTGGCTGTTGTTTGACATCCCCGGTGTGGCTGCGCTTGATGTGCATGTTGACAAGGTGCCTAGCTGTATAGTACCCACTATCTCGTCCATACTGGCTCTAGGAGACAGTTGGTCGTCACTGGAGGGGACAGGGTGCACGGTCTCTGTGGCCGTGCTAGGCTCGAAGAGTAATTCCATGCACTCAGTGTAGAGTGGACCACGGTCCAGTCACCGCCTTATGTGCACTTGATTCAAAAGTACAGCGTGCTTGTGTTTGCCTATGAAGGAGTGTGGGCCGGCTCCGTTGATGAAACGTGACACCCATCCACATGCCTCCCGGTCTTATTTCTTCGGGTTTACACTGAATATGCGGTGTTTGGATGGAGCTATGAGTGGTGCAGCGCAAGTCACCCATGATCCCTCTGTAGAAGCAGGCGTCCTGTGGCTGGCCACAGTGACAGGCAAATCCGAAACCAGATGCTGCCAACCATACTGATTGTTCATGAGTGTATTTCTGTGATCGGCTTGATGAGGAAGTAATCGGACACAACTCTTCGCCTTACGCCTACTGCTTATGTTTCTTCCCGGGTTTGACAACAAATTGGACATTATGGACGTAATGAAATTGAATATCGGAATATTTCGAAAGTCTGGGATAAAATTAGCGGAAGACCATCAATTAGTGGGTACTTGGATTCTGATTTGTAGATTGATGACGGTGGATGCACACCGAACTTGGTATGGCGTTAAAGTATCAGCGAGGTCGATTCAATCCGTACACCTAACCGTCGCCAACGCAGCTAAAGGCTCTAGAGTCCACTATGTGCAGCGAGGTATATCGGACGGTTGACAAGAAAGCCAAATGCAGTCGATATTCGGATTAGACATTGTCCATCGTGGGTTTTAAATTCACATCGAAAAGCAAGACCGTACGAACTCTTGGCGCCAAGTTACAACTGGATGCTACTTGTAGTTGTTTCACGCGAGACCAAGTAGAAACCCAATCTAACTCGGATAAGTTGGACCGGATGTTACTGGTGATGCGTTAACAGTGTAAGAAAGAGATTTCCAAGAAAATCTGATGGGGTAGGGAATTGGGGATATGTCTTATTGAAGATAGCCCTCTGGTATCGGTTGGAAATGAAGATTTCGAACGTCATGATGCATAACGCAGTAGTTGGATCTCTGAATGCGAAAACGCCTAGCAAACAAGTTCTCTCACACGTAAGAGTCAGCAACTGCTTTTGAGTGCATCGTAGTATTAACTAATAACTTTTATTGTCCAATACCCCACCAGGCTCTAACCACCATCTTCAACGACAACTGCATATATATATATATATATATATATATATATATATATATATATATATATATATATATATATATATATATAGTTGTCGTTGATGATGGTGGTTAGAGCCTGGTGGGGTAATGGACAATAGAAGTTATTAGTTAATACTATGATGCACTCAAAAGCAGTCGCTGACCCTTACGTGCGAGAGAACTTGTTTACTAAGCGTTTTCGCATCCAGAGATCCAACTACTGCGTTATGTATTACGACATTTGAAATCTTCATTTCCAACCGATAGCAGAGGGCTATCTTCAATATATATATATATATATATATATATATATATATATATATATATATATATATGTGGTTGGCGGCATCCGGTTTCGGATTTGCCTGTCACTGTGACCAGCCACAGGACGCCTGCGCCTACCGAGGGACCCTGGGTGGCTTGCGCTGCACCACCCGCAGCTCCAACCACACACCCCATACCCAATGTGCACGCGAAGGAATAAGACCGGGAGGCATGTTTATGGGAGCCACGTTTCATCAACGGAGCCGGCCCACACTCCTTCACAAGCAAACACAAACTCGCGGTATTTGGGAATCAAGCGCACACATGGCGGTGACTGGACCGTATTCCGCTCTACACTGAGTGCATGGAACCACTCTTCGAGCCTAACACGGCCACAAGCACCGTGCGCCTCATCCCCTCCGCCAACGACCAACTGTCTCCTAGAGCCAGTATGGATGAGGTAGCGGGTAGGCACTTTGTCAACATGCACATCAAGTGCAGCAACACCGGGGATATCAAGCAACAGCCAGTCACTTGAAACAACAATATCAAATAAAACAAATCCAATAATGCATACAGATACCGTGGCATAACTCTTCACTAAATGAGCATATGGAATAAATTGGTTGCCAAGAAAACCGCTATAGTTTCAAGACGTCAGAAAAAATTATAATAAAATGTCACCATCGCGAAAATGTTATCAAAGTTACCTACAATTAACTTGAGCGACGTGTGCAGGTTAATAGAAGATAGTACACGTAGGCAATAATGAGACAATATAGCAAACCCACCACCTAAAACAAAGAGACCCAACATGCAAGCAAGCGGTTAGTAAATTGAATGTAGCCTACCTACAAACGCTGCGCCGGTTCTGCCTACGTTCTCAGCAGGACCCGTCGTCGCTTCGCTTGTTGTCCCGAGTGGCCTCGCTCATAGCTCACTAGGCCTGCCTGAATCAGGCACTCGCGACCGCATGTGCTACAGCACCATGCGCTCGATATCGATGGAGTACAACTCATCGGCGCCTGCCGCTTCCGCACTTGCCGCTTCTTTTGCATGAATGAGGTCTTTCTCCCGCACTTCGGCAACTGCCTTCGTAATCAGATC